AGAGGACTGCCCCTATGCGTTTCTGGGAGAGGACTGCCCCTATGTGTTTCTGGGAGAGGACTGCCCCTATGTGTTTCTGGGAGAGGACTGCCCTGATTGTTTCTGGGAGAGGACTGCCCCTATGCGTTTCTGGGAGAGGACTGCCCCTATGTGTTTCTGGGAGAGGACTGCCCCTATGTGTTTCTGGGAGAGGACTGCCCCTATGCGTTTCTGGGAGAGGACACAGCCCCTATGTGTTTCTGGGAGAGGACTGCCCCTATGTGTTTCTGGGAGAGGACTGCCCCTATGTGTTTCTGGGAGAGGACACAGCCCCTATGCCTGTGCCACATGCGTCATTATGAAATCTAGATTTGGTTCCAGGAAAGCAACTATGGGGGATGTGGTAAGCTTGGACTTTAATTCATTAAAGGCCTCTTCACACGCTGCGTTCTAATCAAACATTTTCCCCTCATCTGTCAATCTGTACAAAGGCTCCTCCATAGCTGCAAAATCTGTTATCAACCTCATGTAGTATGACACCAGGCCTATAAAGCTTCTTGACTCTGTCAGTGACTTGGGGCTAGGCCATGACCTGACTGTCTCTGTTTTCATGGGGTCAGTGGATACTCCCTCAGTCGAGATGATGTGTCCCAGGTAGCTCGACCTGCGACCTGCGACCTGAACAAATGGCACTTAGATGACGTCACCTTAAGTCCTGCTCCAATCTGCTGAAAACCTTGTTTAAACGCTTCACCTGCTCTTGGAATGTACGACCAAACACTATGATGTCGTCTAAGTACACCAAACATGTTGTCCACTGTAAATCAGCCAAAACCAGGTCCATGAGACGCTGGAAGCTGCTTGGAGCATGTGTCAACCCAAACGACATGACTTGGAATTTGAAAAGCCCTCTGTCACAAAAGCAGTTTTGCAACGATCCTCAAGGTGCATCTCGACTTGCCAGTAACCACTGGCTAATTCTAAAGTGGAAAACCACTGAGCACCTGCAAGTGAGTCCAAGGTCTAGTCGATCGTAGGAAGTGGATAAGCATCTTTAACAGTGTTTTCTTTTAACCATCTGTAATCTGCACAGAACCTGCATGTAGTTGAAGCCGATGCTGCGCTGTCCTTTTCCATGTAAGGACAGTTTTCATGTGCAATGTGCAACCTCAGTGCCAGCAGGCCCTGCTATTGGTCGACATAGGTCGTCCTTTGTCGCTCCCGGGTAACCTAGATCTCCCTCTCCCCTGGTCCGGTCTGTATCTTCCCATTGCTACTGTAGAAGACCCTGGAAATGCTCTGCTGCTTTGGTATGTCTCCCTCTGATGTGGCTGCCTCGCTGCCAGATACTGCACCTCGGTCTGTAATTGTGCAATGCTCTCACACAATGACTCCGACATCTCTCTTGGAACTCTGACATTGTCTCCAACTGGAGGCAGAGTAACCTCGCTTGTCCCACACATGTTCACTTTGTATTGTGCAGTGTCTTTGCTTTCCAGCAATTCTAGCTGCCTTATCTGATCAAGCTCTGTAGCAATGCTAATTGCCTCTTCCAACGTTTTTGGTACTGCCTTGCGCAGGTTGCATACGAAGATCACTGCACACAATGTGTGTAATAAAATGGTCTCCTGCCAGCGAATCACGTGTGCTCACACTATAATCTGGAAAAGCCTTTTAAGCTAGCCTGCTTAAATCATGCCCTAAGTCACAAAAGCACACACCCACTTTACGTTTTCTGTCCTGAAGAAATGCACGATTCCAGTCAGCATGTTCCGGTGGCTCAAAATGCCTCTGCAAAGCCACTTTCACACTGTTGTAAACATTCTTGGTATCCTGAGGTAAAGTACTACAAAATCTCTGCGCATTTCCCCTCAGCAACAGCATGAGAAAGTTCAAACAATCTGCCGCGCGCCATCCATTCACTTGCGCTGCTAACTCAAATGGTTCAATCCCAACAGTCCATTCGCCTTCTTTCCCCTCGAAAGATTCTGGCATGAACACCGGCCGGTCAATCCGCCTGTCCATGGCACCCGGGTGATCCACCACCGGCTGTCGGTCGGTCGGTGGTTGTTGATTGCTGTTCCCGGATTGTTCGACTTCTCCCTCCATTTTCCCACGCAGCTAACCAGCTAAAGTTAGCCAAGCTCGCAAGTTGCTGTTAGCTAGTTGACGTGCTGATCCCACCGCTGTCGCCAATTTGTAACGAACCTGTAAGGCCACTGAACTCGCACGTTGTTTGTTCACTAGAGTACACAGTCTAGGACACTGATTTCCCATGAAATAATCAAGTTGTATTTTATTTGGATGAACAGACAGTGCACCCCAGCACTGACCCGCAGCACAACAACGCCTTCCCAAAAACTCTCCCTCAGCATGCCTCCCGCATCCTCACATACAGAAACTCATTTGCATAACATTGTGTGATAGGCTGAGAGACTTTCGAATGTGTAAAATATTACAATATGTTCAGAGCCATATTCCTGTAACGCTTAGAGGATCTAAAGTCTAATGCTGTTGAAGTGTTGTGGTTGCAGGTTCACCTGCCTCATCTAAAGCCTCTTCTTTTTGGGGTGCTGCTATAGGCCACCAAGTGCATTCCTTATCTGGATAATATATGTGCAATGCTTGATAATGTGTGTGTGATGTTAACAGAGATGTCTATTTTCTGGGTGACCTGAATATAGACTGGCTTTTCATCAAGCTGTCCGCTCAAGAGGAAGCTGCTCACTGTAACTAGTGCCTGTAATCTGGTTCAGGTTATAAAAAATACTTACCATGGTGTTTACACACAGTACAAACAGTGTTGATTATATTTTTTACCAATGCTGCAGAACTCTGCTCTAAAGCTGTAACCATACCCATTGGATGTACTGATCATAATATAGTGGCCATATCTAGAAAATACAAAGTTCCAAAGGCTGGGCCTAAAATAGTGTATAAGAGGTCATACACAACGTTTTGTAGTGATATTTGTTAGTCTGATGTGTGTAATGAGGAGCATCCAGACACTGTACTTGATGCATTTATGAAATTATTTATTCCAGTTATTTATAAACATGCACCTAATTTATTAAGAAACTGACTGTTGGAACTGTTTAGGCCCCGTGGACTTGATGAGGAATTGAAAAGCTGTATGGTTGAGAGGGACGAGGCAAAATGAGTGGTGAATAAGTCTGGAGGGAAGCCAAAGTCATTCCGCTACCCAAGAATGGTAAAGCACCCTTTACTGGTTCTAACAGCCGACCAATCAGCTTGCTGCACTCTTAGCAAACTTCTGAAAATAATTGTCTTTGACCAGATACAATGCATGTGTGTCCATGTTTGCTGATGATTCAACCCTATACGTGTCAGCAACCACAGCTAGTGAAATCCCTGCAACCCTACACAAAGAGTTGCATTCAGTTTTATAATGGGTGGCTAGTGATAAACTAGTCCTGAACATCTCTAAAACTAAGAGCATTGTATTTGGTACAAATAATTCCCTAAGTTTTAGACATCAGCTGAATCTGATCATGAATAGCATGGCTCTTGAGCAAGTTGAGGAGACTAAATTACTTGATGGTACCTTGGATTGTAAACTGGCATGGTCAAAACATATTGATTCAATGGTTGTAAAGATGGGGAAGAGGTCTGTCCGTGATAAAGAGATGCTCTGCTTTTTTGACACCACACTCCACAAAGCAAGTCCTGCAGGCTCTAGTTTTGTATTATCTTGATTATTTCCCAGTCATATGGTCAGCTGGCCCAGAACAGAGCGGCACGTCTTGCTCTTCACTGATACAGAGGGATAATAGCAATACTATGCATGCCAGTCTCTCTTGGCTAAAAGTAGAGGAGAGACTGACCGCATCGCTTCTTGTTTTTATAAGAAACATTCATGTGTTGAAAATTCCAAATTGTTTGCATAATCAACATAAACACAGCACTGACACACACACTTGACCCACCAGACATGCCACCAGGGGTCTTTTCACATTATTATATAGAGCCATGATTGCACGGAACTCCCTTACATCTCAGATTGCTCAAGTGTCCCATGTAGCTCAGTTGGTAAAGCATGGCGCTTGCAATGCCAGGGTTGTGGGTATGAAACAAATATGAAAATGTATGCACTCACTACTGTGAGTTGCTCTGGTTAAGAGTGTCTGCTAAATGAAATGTAAATGTGAACAGCAAACCTGGTTTCAAAAAACTGATAAAGCTACACAGCACAGAGTCTCTCCCTTATTTGACCTGGATATTTTGTGTGACCTTTTACATTTATGTAGTTCTGTTCTTGTCTATTAATGTTCTGTATTATTTCATGTTGCACGTGGACCCCAGGAAGAGTAGCTATCGCAACAGCTAATGGGGATCCTAATAAAATACACAAAAAAATACCAAGGTTAAAGGGACAGTTCATCCCAATATCTGGCGTTTTCATATATCTGGTGTTTTCATATACATCGGTTGTTTTCATGGTCTGAGGTCAAACGGAGTCAACATTCTGACTTAAGGGTGAACTGTCCCTTTAACTAACCATGTTTGTCACTAAAGTACCTGTGTGATGTGCATGAGGTCCCTGGTAGGGTCAAATCAGATGATAAATACCAAAGACATCTTCACCTAAATGTTTTATTGCAGATACAATTTGAATTTGAACTGATATCATTTGATTATCTTTATTTGTGGCGTACATAAAAATGAAGCAACTTTTACAAATGAGTCCCCAGTGGATCAGTACTTGACAATTTACAATGTACCTACGGTGAAGAACAAACCTCCCCTTTACTCCAGACACACCTTGGTAAACTACTGGACAACAACAGGGTGTGTATTCACTAGGAACCAAACAGAAGCGAACTGGCTAAAATGGGGAGGGACTAACCTAAAATTGTCGAATAAGAAATGCTTGTTTTTGTTGCAAAACTATTCCGGTGCAAAATGTTTTTCTACGGTTTGCACTAATAAATACACCCCAAAAAGCTAAATCAACACTGTTATTATGATGGCTTCAGATTGTCATCTGATTCCTCCTGCTGTCATCCTGTGATGCGCCTGAAGGGGTCACCCTCCACCCTCCTCCTGCAGTTCCCCACCTCCCTCTTCCTCCGGCCACCACTGGCCCGTCTTCCGAAACTAGAGCTGCTTTCACAGAAAGCACAAATAAAACCCACTTGGCTTGTGTCCTCTTTGTCCAAGTCAACCAAATGAGATCTTAGCAGGTTGCTTTAAAAAGGCACTACCTGCCCCAGGTCTTCAGTATATAAACAAGCAGTTCATCATGACAGTTCCAGGGGTTCCGGGCGGTTCTCTCCTTCTCTCTGAGTGACCGTGGCCCGGGGTGAGGCTCTCTGCGGTGCACTGCTGGCTTCTGGTCCTCCTGACCCCCAACGGAGCAGAGGACTGTGGGTAGAGCGGAGCAGAGCGCTGGCTGTCGGTCCGTGGTGACGTGTTTCCCCACGCCTGGAGTGTCCCTCCCCGCCGTCACAGTTTAATATCCTGAGACTCTGACATTTTGGCCAGGGTCTTCTTGACGCGCAGCGCCGTGAGGCGAGAGGCCGGGTTGTGGGCCCAACACTCCGTCATCAACTTGCCCATCTGCCTAAGGCACTGTAGAGGGCACAGAAAAACACAGCTCTAGAGTTTGGATAAACCAACGTTTGTGTGTTTGTGTGTGTGTGTGTGTGTGTGTATGTGTACTACACACTCTACTGTGAATGGTTGGTGTGTTTACATGCTTGTGTATGTGCATGCTTACGTGACTGTGTGTGTGTGTGACTTGCTTACCTCGTCGCTGGTCCAGCGGTTGGGGAAGGAAGGTCGTAACCTCTTGATGCAGACCACCTCTCTCATGTCCTCATACGAGGGGTCAGAGGGCACAAGGTCATGGTACGGTAGCTGGTACTCCTCTACAATACCTGGAACACATAAATACCACAATGCGGATTTGATCGAATTTTGCCCAAAGTCGGTGTGTTTGCTGAGAGAGCTATAGTACCTTGTGAGACAGTTTCCCCTAGGTACAGATCTAGGATCAGCTTCCCCTTCCCCAATCCTAAACTCAACCATAAGTGGGGGAAATGCAAAACTGACCCGAGATCAGTGTCTAGGGTGAAACTACTGGGTTAGATTACCTCCTGAGACGCAGCGCCTGGCGATCTCCCAGAGGATGAGGCCGAAGCTGTACATGTCGGCCATGATATAGGACTGGAAGTGGTTCCTGTTGAGGCTCTCGTCCAGAACCTCGGGGGGCATGTAGCGCTTGGTGCCCACCCTGGTGTTGGGAGGGATATCCACTTCGTTGGTGTCACTGGGATGGCAGAAAGGAAAGATCGGGATGGAGGGAGGAAGAGAGAGAAAGAGAGGGAGACCATGTTCGATTAGATGAGAGAGATAGTGATGGATAGAGTGAAGAACAGAGGGAGAGATAGTGATGGAGGGAGAGAAGAACAGAGGGAGAGATAGTGATGGAGGGAGAGAAGAACAGGGAGAGATAGTGATGGAGGGAGAGAAGAACAGAGGGAGCGATAGTGATGAGGGAGAGAAGAACAGAGGGAGAGATAGTGATGGAGGGAGAGAAGGACAGAGGGAGACCATGTTAGTTCTTTTTTCCTTTTTGTATTTCACCTTTTCAACATATTGTCTGTTGTGACACTATGATGCTCTCATGCAAATAGTTTGGTTGAATCGAATTAATCAATTATGAAGGACAATCAATCGACATGCACGCACACACTAACACGCTCCCTCCCTACCTGATGAATTTGACGGCCAGGCCCAGGTCAGCGATGCAGCAGGCTCCATTCTTCTTTACCAGGATGTTCTTGCTCTTCAGGTCTCTGTGGGCGATGGCCGGCTTGCCCTGGGTACCAAAGATCTCTGTGTGGAGGTGGCAGAGGCCTGAGACTGAGGAGTAGGCCAGCCGCAGCATGGCCTTGGTGTCCAGAGTGGTGGACTTGAGGTAGTCGTACAGAGAGCCACCCTCATGGTAGTCTGTGATCAGGTAGAGCTGGGTCCATGAGCCTGTGCCCTTGATGTCAGCCGCTATGAAGCCTGATGGACACAGGGGAAGTAGAGAGATATGGAACTGTAGAACATTATCAAACGTTCATGTTTGGAACATGATAGCACTATTATAGCATTACATCATATGTATATATCACGCACACAGACACACACACACACACACACTCTCTCTCCTTACACAGTATGTTCTCATGTCTCATGAGGACAGTCTGGTAAATCTCAGTCTCTCTGAACCAGCTGGCCTCTTCGGTGGTGAAGAACACTTTGACGGCCACCCTCTCTCCTCTCCACTTGCCCATCCACACCTCCCCGTAGCGACCCTTACCAATCTGCTTCACCATCTGAATCTGCTTGGCTATGGTGCGCTGCACCTGGGAGGAGGAGAGGAGAGGAGAGGAGAGGAGAGGAGAGGAGAGGAGAGGAGAGGGGAGGGGAGGGGATGTCAGACAAGGGTCCTTCACATTGGTGGTGGATGAGGTGAGTTTCCCCCTACTATGTAAAGTGCTATGAGCACTGGAAAAGCTCTATATAAATCCAATCAATTATTATTTATAAATCCAAACAATTATGTGGGCAAGGAAAATACTGAAAAGTACACCATGAATAGCCATTAATAAAGGATTAATAATACATTTAAAATCAGTTTAAAAAGGTTGTAGAAATGTAGAAATAACTTGGAAGGAAAAATGATTAGATTAAAGGGTAAGTTGTTGATTTCTTGAAAGAATGACAGAGCATATACATGAGCATACAAACTGTGTGAGGCTCTCTACGGCTCTGCACGGACTCTAGTGGTGCTGAATTGACGTGCAACACGTGGCAGAACGGTTGTGATACAATGGATATTTTCTCTGCACAAAAAATAATTACAAAGGCGTTGTGGAGACACAGCTCATGTATATTTTTGTACAGACTGACAAACCGTACCACAAAAAGATCAGTTGTATCATTGTGTGACATGTGTTGTTCATTAGTTGTATCATTGTGTCAAATGTGTTGTTCATCAGTTGTTCTACCTAGGTGTGTATGGTGCCTCTAAGACATTGTGGGTGTCCTCCAAATATCTCCTTTCTCCTGAAGTGTACAGTCCTTCACTACTTCCCACAAACCTAAAGCATTGAATTGGTCGAGACATGGGCTAGTGGGAGTATTTCTTACACCAGTCATTTACTTTCAAATCGGTGAAGGGACGTGAACAAATGCACACTTCGGGAGGAAGGAGAGATAACTGGGATGCGACCATTGAGCTGGTGGTTGGGAGTTGCAGTGTGTGCAACACACCAGCAGGGGGAGACCTGAGCCACTGCCTGAGCTCTGGGACTGTTCTATGAGGTCTCTGAGAGACTCTCCCGTGGGGATGTAGGACTCATCCTGCTCCAGACCAATGCTGTAGCGTGGCCCAGACTCCTGGCGCTTGTACCTGCAACACACACACACACACCAGTATACATCAAACAACCCTTTCATGGGAGTAGTCTGTAAGTAATATCACAATTCTGGATGATTCAATCATTGACTACACAACTAGAAAACATGTCATATCACAGAGATATAGGATTCTTCGTTGTGTTAAATTATTTTCATTCAAAGTACAAACAATACGTCCTCTGGATTCATCAGGTAAAACAAGCACAATAAAATAACACTTTCTGATTCATTTGTTCCCAAAGTGGAATGAATGTTCTAAGCATGGATGAACAAATGGACTGTACATACAGTACCGGTCAAACGTTTTAGAACACCTACTCATTCAAGGGGTTTTCTTTATTTTTACTATTTTCTACATTGTAGAATAATAGTGAAGACATCAAACTATGAAATAACACATATGGAATCAAGTAGTAACCAAAAAGGTGTTATGTTATATTTGAGATTCTTCAAATAACCACCCTTTGCCTTGATGACAGCTTTGCACACTCTTGGCATTCTCTCAACCAGCTTCACCTGGAATGTTTTTCCAACAGTCTTGAAGGAGTTCCCACATATGCTGAGCACTTGTTGGCTGCTTTTCCTTCACTCAGCAGTCCGACTCACCCCAAACCATCTCAATTTAGTTGAGGTTGGGGGATTGTGGAGGCCAGGTCATCTGATGCAGCACTCCATCACTCTCCTTCTTGGTAAAATAGCCCTTACACAGCCTGGAGGTGTGTTGGGTCATTGTCCTGTTGAAAAACAAATGATAGTCCCACTAAGCCCAAACCAGATGGGATGGCGTTTCGCTGCAGAATGTTGTGGTAGCCATGCTGGTTAAGTGTGCCTTGAATTCTAAATAAATCACAGACAGTGTCACCAGCAAAGCACCACCACACCATAACTCCTCCTCCTCCATGCTTTACAGTGGGAAATACAATGCAGAGATCATCCGTTCACCCACACCACGTCTCACAAAGACACGGCGGTTGGAACCAAATATCTCAAATCTGGAATCCAGACCAAAGGACACATGTCCACTGGTCTAATGTCCATTGCTCGTGTTTCTTGGCCCAAGCAAGTCTCTTCTTCTTATTGGTGTCCTTTAGTAGTGGTTTCTTTGCAGCAATTCGACCATGAAGGCCTGATTCACACAGTCTCCTCTGAACAGTTGATGTTGAGATGTGTCTGTTACTTGAACTCTATGAAGCATTTATTTGGGCTGCAATTTCTGAGGCTGGTAACTCTAATGAACTTATCCTCTGCAGCAGAGGTAACTCTGGGTCTTCCATTCCTGTGGCGGTCCTCATGAGAGCCAGTTTCATCATAGCGCTTGATAGTTTTTGCGACTGCACTTGAAGAAACGTTCAAAGTTCTTGAAATGTTCCGTATTGCCTGACCTTCATGTCTTAAAGTAATGATTGACTGTCATTTCTCTTTGCTTATTTGAGCTGTTCTTGCTATAATATGGACTTGGTCTTTTACCAAATAGGGCTATCTTCTGTATACCCCCCCTACCTTGTCACAGCACAACTGATTGGCTCAAATGCATTAGGAAGGAAAGAAATTCCACAAATTAACTTTTAACAAGGCACACCTGTTAATTGAAATGCATTCCAGGTGACTACCTCATGAAGCTGGTTGAGAGAATGCCAAGAGTGTGTAAAGCTGTCATCAAGGCAAAGGGTGGCTATTTGAAAAATCAAATATAAAATATATTTTGATTTGATGAACACTTTTTTGGTTACTACATGATTCCAAATGTGTTATTTCATTGTTTTAATGTCTTCACTATTATTCTACAATTAGAAAATAGTAAAAATAAAGAAAAACCCATGAATGAGTAGGCGTTCTAAAACTTTTGACCGGTACTGTATATTGGGGATAAACGTATTCATGACATGGGTGAGCGGTCATTCTAGAACAGGACTGCCTAACCCTGTTCCTGGACAGCTACCCTCCTGTAGGTTTTCACTACAACCCTGTTCCTGGACAGCTACCCTCCTGTAGGTTTTCACTACAACCCTAATCTTGCATACCTGATTCTAATAATTACCTGGTTGATAAACTGAATCAGGTTAGTTACAACTGGGGTTGGATCAAAAACCTACAAGACGGTAGGTAGCTCTCCAGGAACAGGGTTGAGCAGCGCTGTTCTAAAAGTTCTCTCCAGGAACAGGGTTGAGCAGCGCTGTTCTAAATGTTCTCTCCAGGAACAGGGTTGAGCAGCGCTGCTCTAAATGTTCTCTCCAGGAACAGGGTTGAGCAGCGCTGTTCTAAAAGTTCTCTCCAGGAACAGGGTTGAGCAGCGCTGTTCTAAATGTTCTCTCCAGGAACAGGTTTGAGCAGCGCTGTTCTAAAAGTTCTCTCCAGGAACAGGTTTGAGCAGCGCTGTTCTAAACGTTCTCTCCAGGAACAGGGTTGAGCAGCGCTGTTCTAAAAGTTCTCTCCAGGAACAGGGTTGAGCAGCGCTGTTCTAAAAGTTCTCTCCAGGAACAGGGTTGAGCAGCGCTGTTCTAAAAGTTCTCTCCAGGAACAGGGTTGAGCAGCGCTGTTCTAAACATTCTCTCCAGGAACAGGGTTGAGCAGCGCTGTTCTAAACGTTCTCTCCAGGAACAGGTTTGAGCAGCGCTGTTCTAAACGTTCTCTCCAGGAACAGGGTTGAGCAGCGCTGTTCTAAATGTTCTCTCCAGGAACAGGGTTGAGCAGCGCTGTTCTAAATGTTCTCTCCAGGAACAGGGTTGAGCAGCGCTGTTCTAAACGTTCTCTCCAGGAACAGGGTTGAGCAGCGCTGTTCTAAACATTATCTCGAGGCAAACTGAGTCTCACCTGAAGTAGCAGAAAAGAATGATGAGAGCCAGGATGATGCTGCACACAGTGACGGAGATGAACAGAGCCATGTGGTGAATGTTCCCATCCACATAATCTACAGAGCGAGTGGGAGGGGGGAGGGAGAGAGGGGGAGGGAGAGAGAGAGATGGGGAGAGAGGGGAGGAGTGAGAGAGAGAGAGGGGGGGGGGAGAGAGGGGAGAGAGAGCGAGGAGGAGGGGGAGAAGAAAGAGGGGGGAGAGAGAAATAACTGATCACTTCATATAAGTAACAGATGACATATTCAATACAAACAGGGCCACACATCCCTCTGCTATGGGAAAAGTTTGAACTTTGAGTCCGATTTGGAAAGAGACAACAGTCAAAAACAGTCATCATTAAGTCATGTGATTTCAAAGGTAATTTATTGTTAGTCCAACATGTTATACTCTCTCAGCTAGTTCACTCTGGTCCCTGGGGACACCACAGTGTGTGTGTAACTGAGGGAACCCTAGTCCTGATGGACAGGATCTCTTCCTGAAGTCCGCTGCTAGAGTTTCAGATTGATGACATTGCTGGCCATGTCTGCTGGGAGTTCTGCTTTCTCTGGGACTCTATTCTTACTGCCACACACACACACCCTGGACCTGCCCTGTGTGTGAAGTCCAACACACCCTGGACCTGCCCTGTGTGTGAAGTCCAACACACCCTGGACCTGCCCTGTGTGTGAAGTCCAACACACCCTGGACCTGCCCTGTGTGTGAAGTCCAACACACCCTGGACCTGCCCTGTGTGTGAAGTCCAACACACCCTGGACCTGCCCTGTGTGTGAAGTCCAACAGACCCTGGACCTGCCCTGTGTGTGAAGTCCAACACACCCTGGACCTGTCCTGTGTGTGAAGTCCAACACACCCTGGACCTGCCCTGTGTGTGAAGTCCAACACACCCTGGACCTGCCCTGTGTGTGAAGTCCAACAGACCCTGGACCTGTCCTGTGTGTGAAGTCCAACAGACCCTGGACCTGCCCTGTGTGTGAAGTCCAACACACCCTGGACCTGTCCTGTGTGTGAAGTCCAACACACCCTGGACCTGCCCTGTGTGTGAAGTCCAACACACCCTGGACCTGTCCTGTGTGTGAAGTCCAACAGACCCTGGACCTGTCCTGTGTGTGAAGTCCAACAGACCCTGGACCTGCCCTGTGTGTGAAGTCCAACAGACCCTGGACCTGCCCTGTGTGTGAAGTCCAACAGACCCTGGACCTGCCCTGTGTGTGAAGTCCAACAGACCCTGGACCTGCCCTGTGTGTGAAGTCCAACAGACCCTGGACCTGCCCTGTGTGTGAAGTCCAACAGACCCTGGACCTGCCCTGTGTGTGAAGTCCAACAGACCCTGGACCTGCCCCGTGTGTGAAGTCCAACACACCCTTTCAGTCTGACACACACACGAAAAAGAACAGAATAAATATATCCAGTTTTGGGTCTGCTACGGAAACCCTAGCTAATGCTCTCTTGGGCCGATTGTGGGCCAATCACTGCAGAGGAGCGGCGCTATGCAGCTGAATTCACCGGCTCCATTTCACCTGCTTCTCTCACTGGCCCCTGACACTCACTGGTAACTCACTGAGCCCTGACACTGGTAACTCACTGCGCTCTGTCACTGGTAACTCACTGAGCCCTGACACTGGTAACTCACTGCGCTCTGTCACTGGTAACTCACTGAGCCCAGACACTGGTAACTCACTGCGCTCTGTCACTGGTAACTCACTGGGCCCTGACACTGGTAACTCACTGCGCTCTGTCACTGGTAACTCACTGGGCCCTGTCACTGGTAACTCACTGCGCTCTGTCACTGTCAAGTCACTGGGCCCTGACACTGTCAATGGTAACTCACTGAGCCCTGACATTGTCAATGGGAACTCACTGAGCCCTGACATTGTCAATGGTAACTCACTGAGCCCTGACATTGTCAATGGTAACTCACTGAGCCCTGACATTGTCACTGGTAACTCACTGTCACTGGCAACGGTCACTTCTCTCACTGGGCCCTGATACTGTCACTGGTAACTCACTGGCCCCTGATACTGTCACCTCACTGTCACTGGTAACTCGCTGTCACTGGTAACTCACTGTCACTAGTAACTCACTGGTAAATCACTGTCACTGGTAACTCACTGTCACTTCTGTCTGTGTTGCTATTTGTCTCGGTCCCAGCTTCTTTCTCAGCTTCTGTCTCAGCTTCTGTCTCAGTATGCGAGTGTTTGTGTATGCAGGATCTTACTCAGTGTTTTGAGTGGGGGCAGGGTGGGGTGCAGGTCTTTGTTGCAGTAGTCCTGGTCAGTACAGCACTCCAGGGATCTTCTCAGTCGGGAGTTGCCTGTGTCCTGGAAGCACAGTTACATCATATGAATACATCAGCTACTGTTGCTGTTCAATTTCCCACGCTGTTCCCACAAGTGTAGCAACTTTCATGCTTTTATGAAAACGTTTTGACCCAAAATGGGCACATATCGCCTGGAGTACACCTCGTACAGACAATACATTGATCAATTGAAGATGTGTTTGCGGTGTGCTGACTACACTACATGATCGAAAGTATGTGGACACCTGCTCGTCGAACATCTAATTCCAAGTTAATGGCCATTAATATGAAATTGGTCCCCCCTTTGCTGCTATAACAGCCTCCACTCTTCTGGGAAGGCTTTCCACTAGATGTTGGAACATTGCTGCCACAAGAGCATTAGTGATGCTGGGCGATTAGGCCTGGCTGGCAGTCGGCGTTCCAATTCGCCCAGGTGGTGGGAGCTGCTGTCAGTGTCCAGAGGTGTGGATTCACTGGTGTATGGTAAAGTTACCCCAAGATGCTGATCTGGGTCAGTTTTTTGCATTTCCCCCATTAATTGTTAAGGTTAGGAATGATGGAGGGGAATCTGATCCTAGATCTGTACCTAGGGGAAACTACATCACAGAGTGGTTTCACTGTGTTGGAGTGGGGTGCGTTCACTGTGGTGGAGTGGTCTTTAGACTTACCCTACACTGGAACTCTGATCCCACCAGACCCAGACATCCTGAGGTGAGGACAGGGACCCCTCCCTCCTCTTCCTCCACCATGGTGAAGCAGTACCCATCCGTCCTAAATCACAACGCATTGCATTACCATCTGTATCATCATATGATCATGATCTACCTGCATTATCACCATTACTCAGACCATTATCCGTCCTAGATCACAACACAACGCATTACATTCCCACTAATAGCACTAATAGTTCCATCAATAAGCATTACAATTATCATCAGTCATTTTTAATTATTTACATTTTAGTCATTTAGCAGACGCTCTTATCCAGAGCGACTTACAGTTAGTGAATACATATTTTTATTTTTTTATTTTTTTTAATACTGGCCCCCCGTGGGAATCGAACCCACAACCCTGGCGTTGCAAACGCCATGCTCTATCAACTGAGCTACATCCCTGCCGGCCATTCACTCCCCTACCCTGGACGACGCTGGGCCAATTGTGCGCCGCCCATGAGTCTCCCGGTCGCGGCCGGCGGCGACAGAGCCTGGATTCGAACCAGGATCTCTAGTGGCACAGTTAGCACTGCGATGCAGTGCCTTAGACCACTGCGCCACTCAGGAGTATTTCCAGCACAATGACTTCATGTACTTATTAATAATGTATATTATCAACAGCTTCATCTAAATAATTAGTGATCGGTGCTAATTAGTCAACTGTGTGTGTACCATTCACAACTGGTGTGTGTGTGTATATGTTTTACTATACTTGTGATTATCAGAAGTCCTGACAAGAATAGTGAACCAACAAACATTTTGCCGGTCCTCACTTGTAAAAAGGCTTAGGGGTTTAGGTTTAGGGAAAACATTATTTTGAATGGGAATCAATTGTTGGTCCCCAAAAAGTATTCACAAATATAGTGTGAGTGAGTGAGTGAGTGAGTGAGTGAGTGAATATGTGTGTGTTTGTGTGGTTTTACTAACAGGTTACGTTAAAATACTTCCAGGGTTGTTATTCAAGTTCAATATTATCCCAGAGGATTTCTGTTTCATGACGTTAATGATTAATTCATTTTATATTCAAAGTTGGCAAGAGACAGAGTAATTAGCCACTGATGTTATTGTGTGTGACAGTGTGTGCGTTAAACTAATTAGCACATCAGGCAATACTATGGAACGTCAAGGATTATTTGAGTGTTGAGTTGCTAAGGGGAAAACACATTGGAGCGAATGTGTCAGCGAACAAGCGCCACACACCCTGCCAAGTTTTCACTCCAAACAAACAACTGCATTATGCAGAAAAATACACATGAAACCGTTAATCATACTGTAAGCCTCCTGCACTAAGATGAAGTACTGAAAAGCTTTAGCAATCTTCCATGGTTATCAATATAGCCTAAGGAGAGTATGAAAGTAAGTTAATTTCAATGGCCCATATTCACAAAGCGTTTCAAAGTAGGAGTGCTGGTCTAGGATCAGTTTAGATCATCATGAATAAGATTATATGGACAGGGAGGATCTGATCTGAGATCAGCACTGTGAATATGGATTGGCAAGAGTGTTGGATCTACATGTGCTAAGGTGATGAGGTGAGAGACAGCATAAAACATGCATCAAATATATGTGTAGGATATAGTGTGTGTGTGTGTGTGTGTAGGTGTGTGTGTGTGTGTGTGTTGGGCCCACACCTGCAGGTGTTGTTGGTGGAGTCCTCAGGACAGTGGTGATAGCAGTAACACCAGAGCTGTCGCTGGGGCAGGGCTGGGGCTGTGCTCCCACTGGCGTCTTTCTCACTGTCCACCGCCGCCTTCCCCGAAGTCCTCAGCAGCATACTGTCCAGAACGTTAGCTATAAAGGACAGGACACAGAGAGACAGTGTCACGAACGTCGTATGAAGGAGTGGACCAAAGCGCAGCGTTAGTAGCGAACATACTTGCTTTATTAAATTAAAGCATACACACGAAATAACAAAACAATAAACGACTCGTGAAGTCCTCAGTGACAATGACCGAACACGGAACAAAAACCCACAAACACAGAGTGAAACACAGACAGTTAAATATGGCTCCCAATCAGAGACAACCAGCACACAGCTGACACTCGTTGCCTCTGATTGGGAGTCACTCAGTCAAACATAGAAATAAACAACCTAGACCACCCAACATAGAAACAGAAAACATAGAATGAACACACCCTGGCTCAACATAATGAGTCCCAGAGCCAGGGTGTGACAGTACCCCCCCCTAAAGGCGCGGACTGCGACCGCGCCTAAATACAAGCAAAACAGGGGAGGGCTGGGTGGGCATTCCTCCTCGGCGGCGGCTCCGGCTCCGGGCTTGCCCACCACCCTCCAACAAACCCCCCATAGCGCCCCTGGTCCGGTCTGGCCCCGCTGGCTGGAGCTGGACTGGACGTAGCAGGAGCGGTAGGCTTCAGCTCCTTAGTGGAGCAGTAGAGCGGTACCTGAATTGGCACCGATGACCCAGGCACGGGTTGTGCCGGACTGACGACTCGCACCCCTGGCTTGGTGCGAGTGGCAGGAACGGGCCGGGCCGGGCTGGCGACGTGCACCGTAGACTTGGTGCGAGTGGCAGGAACAGGCCGGACCGGGCTGGTGACGCGCACCGTAGACTTGGTGCGTGGAGCAGGGACAGGCCGGGCCGGGCTGGCGACGCACCCCGTAGGCTTGGTGCGTGGAGCAGGGACAGGCCGGGCTGGGCTGTCGACGCACACCGTAGGCTTGGTGCGTGGAGCAGGAACAGGCCGGGCTGGGCTGGCGACGCACACCGTAGGTTTGGTGCGTGGAGCAGGGACAGGCCGGGCTGGGCTGTCGACGCACACCGTAGGCTTGGTGCGTGGAGCAGGAACAGGCCGGGCAGGGCTGGCGACGCACACCGTAGGCTTGGTGCGTGGAGCAAGAACAGGCCGGGCTGGGCTGGCGACGCACACCGTAGGTTTGGTGCGTGGAGCAGGGACAGGCCGGACAGGGCTGGCGACGCACACAGTAGGCTTGGTGCGTGGAGCAGGGACAGGCCGGGCAGGGCTGGCGACGCCCACCGTAGGTTTGGTGCGTGGAGCAGGGACAGGCCGGGCTGGGCTGTCGACGCACACCGTAGGCTTGGTGCGAGGAGCAGGAACAGGCCGGACCGTACTGGGAACACACACCACTGGCCTTAAACGGGGATCAGGAACGGGCCGGACCGGACTGGCAATACACCTCAGTACCCTCTCGCCGTGCCTCTACAACTTCCTTCCCTCCTCTCGCCAATGGCTCCCGTAACCCGGTGGCCTTCTCTCCTCGTCTCCCATTTCGCCCTGTGGCAGCCTCCTGCTGCCCAGTCGCCCATGCCGTGTGCCCCCCCCTAAAAATTTCTTGGGGTTGCCTCTCGCCTGTCCGACGTTGACCCGTTTGGCGCCGCTGCTCCTCTCCTGCCTGGGTCTCCCCCTTTATCGCCTTCCGGTACCGGACGGCCTCCTCCTCAGTAATCTGCCCCCAACCGAGGAGGACATCCACAAGAGTCACCTCCTGCGTGTGTTCCTGGACACGCTGCTTGGTCCTGGTATGGTGGGTTTTTCTGTCACGAACGTCGTATGAAGGAGTGGACCAAAGCGCAGCGTTAGTAGCGAACATACTTGCTTTATTAAATTAAAGCATACACACGAAATAACAAAACAATAAACGACTCGTGAAGTCCTCAGTGACAATGACCGAACACGGAACAAAAACCCACAAACACAGAGTGAAACACAGACAGTTAAATATGGCTCCCAATCAGAGACAACCAGCACACAGCTGACACTCGTTGCCTCTGATTGGGAGTCACTCAGTCAAACATAGAAATAAACAACCTAGACCACCCAACATAGAAACAGAAAACATAGAATGAACACACCCTGGCTCAACATAATGAGTCCCAGAGCCAGGGTGTGACAGACAGAGGGTTAGACTTAGGATTCACAAGCAACAATCTCACCTTCATTAGTTTAGTCACAAAAAACAAGACATTCTTACTTTTTCGTTTAACAGGTCAATATCGAAGTGAGAGAATAACGTACTTTTGCGTAAAGACTTTGATTCTGAAGAATACACGGCACATTGGGATGGGTGGTGGGATGGGCCGATTCAACATTTGTTTTTGTTTCTCATTGATTATACCGTTGTTGTACAAGTGAGTCAATAATAAACAGGTGTTCACAAAAAAGATCACATGGCAAAGTCTTGGAAATCATATTTCAATTGTTACATCCAAGTAGCCATTGTTCTGCTACAGTCTCCCACGTTTTCTACACACATCCCGTTTCAAAAGAGCACCTGTTTGTCACATGAGGAGAAGAAAGTCCAAAGACGGAAATGTCTTTGGATGTGTCCCAAACAGCACCCTATCCCCTACACATCGCACAAGAGCCCTATGGGCCCTGTTCAAAAGTAGTGCACAATATAGGGAATAGGTTGCCATTAGGAACGCAGCCTTTCATTCATACGTTAGGGCTTTTTATTCATTCCGCCGCACTCATTCAGACCAGATGCTTCACAGCTGCGTCGTGGAGATGGTCCAAAAAAAAGCAAGTGTCCTTCCTCACTCCAATAAACACTAGCAGTCATACGATACCCTCTCCAAAGACTGACTTCACACCTATCACATCGTCCAATCTGTCAACAGCGGAAGAGCTTTCCAGACAGAATGGAAGACAGCGGAAACAGGTAGCCAAAAGAAGTGGGACATTATCTTTATTTTGTATAGAAAAAAGCTTTACAGAAAGCCTAGTCCCTTAACATGTATTCAACATATACACTGAGTGTACAAAACATTAGGAACACCTTCCTAATATTGAGTTGCACCCCCATTTGCCCGCAGAACCGCCTCGTCTGGGCATGGACTCTATAAAGGTGTTGAAAGCGTTCCACAGGGATGCTGGCCCATGTTGACTCCAATGCTTCCCACAGTTGTGCCGTCAAGTTGGCTGGATGTCCTTTGGGTGGTGGACCATTCTTGATACACACAGGAAACTGTTAAGTGTGAAAAACCCAGCTGCGTTGTACCTGCTACCATACCCCGTTCAAAGGCATTTCAATATTTTGTCTTGTCCATTCACCCTCTGAATGGCACACATACATAATCCATGTCTCAATTGTCTTAAGGCTTAAAAATCCTTCTTTAACCTGTCTCCGCCCATTCAAAAAATCTAAATCAAATCAAATGTAATTTGTCACATGCGCCGAATACAACAGGTGCACCTTACAGTGAAATGCTTACTTACAAGCCCTTCATCTACACTGATTGAAGTGGATTTAACAACTGACATCAATAAGGGATCATAGCTTTCACCTGGTCAGTCTATGTCATGGAAAGAACAGGTGTTCCTGACGCGAGCCTACCGGACGAGCTAAATGCCTTTTACGCTCGCTTTGAGGCAAGCAACACTGAAGCATGCATGAGAGCACCAGCTGTTCCAGATGACTGTGTGATCACGCTCTCCATAGCCGAGCAAGACCTTAAACAGGTCAACATTTACAATGCTGCAGGGCCAGACGGATTACCAGGACGTGTACTCAGAGCATGCGCAGACCAACTGGCAAGTGTCTCCACTGACATTTTCAACCTCTCCCTGACCGAGTCTGTAATACCTACATGTTTCAAGCAGACCACCATAGTCCCTGTGCCCAACAAAGGGAAGGTAACCTGCCTAAATGACTACCGCCCCGTAGCACTCACGTCGGTAGCCATGAAGTGCTTTGAAAGGCTGGTCATCAACACATCATCCCAGAAACCCTAGACCCACTCCAATTCGCATACCACCCCAACAGATCCACAGATGACGCAATCTCAAATCGCACTCCACACTGCCCTTTCCCACCTGGACAAAATGAACACCTATGTGAGAATGCTGTTCATTGACTACATCTCAGCGTTCAACACCATAGTGCCCACAAAGCTCATCACTAAGCTAAGGACCCTGGAACTAAACCCTCCCTTTGTAACTGGATCCTGGACTTCCTGACGGGCCGCCCCCAGGTAGTAAGGGTAAGCAACAACACATCTGCCACGCTGATCCTCAACACGGGGGCCCCTCAGGGGTGCGTGCTTAGTCCCCTCCTGTACTCCCTGTTCATCCACAACTGTGTGGCCAAGCACGACTCCAACACCATCATTAAGTTTGCTGACGACACAACGGTGGTAGGCCTGATCACCGACAACGATGGGACAGCCTATAGGGAGGAGGTCAGAGACCTGGCAGTGTGGTGCGAGGACAACAACCTTTCCCTCAACGTGAGCAAGACAAAGGAACTGAGGGCCTCCATTCACATCGAACACGCCCCCATTCTCATCGACGGGGCTGTAGTGGAGCGGGTCGAGAGCTTCAAGTACCTTGGTGTCCGGATCACCAACAAACTATCATGGTCCAAACACACCAAGACAGTCGTGAAGAGGGCACGACAAAGCCTATTCCCCCTCAGGAGACTGAAAAGTTTTGGCATGGGTCCTCAGATCCGCAAAAAGTTATACAGCTGCACCATCGAGAGCATCCTGACCGGTTGCATCACCGCCTGGTATGGCAACTGCTTGGCATCCGATCATAAGGCGCTATAGAGGGTAGTGTGTACGGCCCAGTACATCACTGGGGCCAAGCTTCGTGCCATCCAGGACGTACATACTAGGCGATGTCAGAGGAAGGCCCAAGTCATAGACTGTTCTCTCTGCTACCGCAAGGCAAGCGGTGCCGGAGCACCAAGTCTAGGTTCAAAAGGCTCCTTAACAGCTTCTACCCCCAAGCCATAAGACTGCTGAACAATTAATCAAATGGCCA